GCATTGCCTCGGTTCGGAGAACAAAAGCAGTCTGCCAGGTGAGAGCTGTACCTACACTCTTGACTCACAATTTGTATTGTACGCTCGTGACAAGGTATGCAAAATGCCTGCCGCACGCACCGAGAGACGTTGCAAACCCCCATCTTGGCGAACGCTGCTGAAAGTTGGCACAGGGGCGGTGCCGCAACGGCACCGCCGATCGTCACTTCGAAAGCCGTTGATGTAATGCACAACTAATTTCTCTTCATCGTTTCCCGGTGCCAGCAAGGCCAAGACCGTTGAGGGATCGGCTCTTGACGCACCCAAGCCACACGCTGGTCATCTACGCATCTTAGTTCCACTTCCCCACGATCTGCGGAAGCGGGCGAGTGTCCGACTGCACCGACCGACCTGCCAGTGCCGCAGATCTCGACGCCTTTGAATCTGCAGTGTGAGCCTGTAGCGCAGCACCGTGTTTCCTGCTGATGGACGAAGGCAGCAGAGTGCACAATGCTTGTGCGACGGGCCGGGCCCCGAGAGCCGCATCTGTAGGGTAAAGCTAAGCATGCGTCACTGTGCTTCAGTGCCTGAAGTGCTGTCGCTGACAGGCTCACGGTCAAATTGTGGCCGCGCCTATGTAAACAGCTTGAGAAGACATTATTGTTAGTCTGCCGCTGCTGGCTGCTGCTTGACGTGGACGATGCTTGCCAGAACATGCAGCTAGCTCCGTGTGAAGTTGGGCCTTGCCACGCAACACTCAGATAACTGAGGAGTGACTACTCACGAGTCGTGCGCTTTTGTCAAGGTTGCCTGCCTGGCCGCTGTGATTGCTTGTTCTGTGCGTATGAAGCTTGCATGCTGACGTGTGCTGGGAGACGCGTGTTCAATTCACATTCAGATTGTGTCGAGGGCAAACGGTGTTAAATCAAAGGCAATAACAATAACGATTGGAAGCAGGCATTCACGAGTCTGTTCCAATTTGAATGTAGCCGCTGCGAGAGCAGCTGCTGCAGCTTCGCGCTCGCTCGCAGGCCAAACGAGCAGCAGCTAGAGTAGAGGCATGCGCGTGCGTGCCGGTGCCCGTCATGCATACCATGCGCGCAGTCGTGCAATTGTGCGCTCTCGCGCATAAAGCACACAGACCCTGCGCTCTCGCACGCATCATCACCGCGCACAAGTATCCGCATTCCGCCACGCGAGGCGGGGCGCCCGCTAGCTGAGCTGAGCCTTTGCGCCTCGCTTGGCTCGCCTGAATGCTGTAGCTAGGCGAGGCACAGCTAGGCAGGGACATGGCCGAACCTGCAATGTGAATGAAATGCCTCCAAAGCCACACATTCGCCCGACCCTTTTGACCCTTCGCGTGCACCACCCTCTCCCACTCTCCCAACTTCCACATCACACGTCACCCACCCAGCTTCCCCGTCGCTCCTGTCTCCAGCAACCCCTTCTCCAATTTGGTCATTCTCAACACCTTGGGCTCGACCGCTGCTATCTTTGACCTTGGCGTGTCTTTGTGATCTGTTTGGATCCCAAAGCTTGCAACACTTTAGCAAGAGCAACGAAAAGCAGCTAGGATTGCGTTGCATCGTCGGCACCGGCAGCATCATCGCACTTTGATCTTTACGAGCTGCGCTCTGACAGCTTGAAAAAGTGCGACCGAGTATACATCAGCTGCAGATTGCGGCTCCCGCCATATCAACTTCCTCTTCGCCACCCACTGGAAAGGACACTTGTTCAGCTGCACAGCGTAGCATCAGCCCAAGATGGCGGACTTCGTCAAACTCAGCATCTTTGGAACCGTGTTCGAGGTGACCACGCGATATGTGGACTTGCAGCCAGTCGGCATGGGAGCTTTTGGTTTGGTATGCTCTGCAAAGGATCAGCTGACCAGCACCAGCGTAGCCATCAAGAAGATTATGAAACCATTTTCGACTCCTGTGCTGTCGAAGAGGACGTACAGAGAGCTGAAGCTGCTGAAACACATCAGGCACGAGAATGTGAGTTTTCGATCCAGGTGCCGCATGTGGCGATGAAGGTGCAAGGGCGAGGGCGAGAGACATGGCCTTATCACCTTGGCATCCGGCAGTTTGAGTTCACGCGTATCTATGGTCCACATTTTGCTTGGGTCGCGAAATACAAGCGGAGGGCGGCATGTATGCGGAGGATTCGTCTCACTGGGAGATTATGCAGTCCGTGCCTGCAAGAAGGAGATGTTTACTGACGTCGCCCGATGCTTTCACAGATCATCTCCCTGTCCGACATCTTCATTTCCCCGCTCGAAGACATGTGAGTGCTTGGACGTTTTGCTCGACGCCACTCCTCGGTCGCTGAATTCGCTTTCTCTTGGGTCGCTTCGCCACAGCTACTTCGTTACTGAATTGCTGGGCACAGACTTGCATAGATTGCTTACAAGTAGACCGTTGGAGAAGCAGTTCATTCAGTACTTCTTGTATCAGATTTTGAGAGGGTTGAAATACGTGCACTCGGCAGGCGTGGTGCACCGAGACTTGGTGAGTATGGGTGAAGCTGATCTTACGAGGGTGGACAAGGGCCAGTTGGCTGCCATGATTCGGTTGCTTCGGAGTGTGCAACGAAGAACCGGCCTCTTCTCCACCATGGCCAAGTTGCTACGTGCGAGGAGAAATGGGGAGGGTGGGACACCTGGCGTTGGAGCAAGACGATCATTTCTGCCACCACGCAGAGTATCTTTGCTCTTTGCTGTGCTGCATGCTGATCGATCTCCAATCCGCATGACGTAGAAACCCTCGAACATCTTGGTGAACGAAAATTGTGACTTGAAGATTTGCGACTTTGGGTTGGCTAGAATTCAGGACCCTCAGATGACTGGCTATGTCAGCACGAGGTACTACAGAGCTCCTGAAATCATGCTGACGTGGCAAAAGTACGATGTCGCCGGTGAGTCTGGCTCTACTTCTCTTTCCATGACTTCTGTCTCCATCGCAAGATTAGAGGCCCGCGCAGCCGCGATGAGGCTCAGAGGAGGCCCTCAGAGACTTGCAGCTTGGCAGGTACGCGTTACTGACTGCATTGTATGCCACGCAGTCGACGTCTGGAGCGCGGGATGCATCTTTGCAGAAATGCTGGAAGGCAAGCCACTCTTCCCAGGAAAGGATCGTGAGTACAAAGCACACGAGCGAGCATGATGCCGGCAAGTCTCCAGCTCATACTCCCACCTCAGACGTCAACCAATTCTCCATCATCACCGAGCTGCTCGGCACTCCACCCGACGAGGTCATCAAGACGATTTGCAGTGAAAATGTGAGTTCTCGCGGTCACCTACCAGATCTCATTCTCTTCTGATGCCGCGTATGTCGTTTTCACAGACGTTGCGATTCGTGCAATCCTTGCCAAAGAGGGAAAGAATTCCCTTCTCACAAAAGTTCAGGAACCAAGATCCGGTCGCGCTGGACTTGTTGGAAAAGATGCTGGTCTTCGATCCCCGAACCCGCATCACTGCGGCCGAAGCTTTGAGCCATCCCTACCTCGCGCCTTACCACGACCCGTCAGACGAGCCAGAGGCCGAAGAGGCCTTTGATTGGTCATTCAACGATGCTGATCTGCCTGTGGACACGTGGAAGGTGATGATGTACAGCGAGATTCTTGGTGAGTCCCTCGAGATTGATTCTTTTCATGGCGGTAAGACTTGCCGTGCTAAAGTCCCACCGCATTTAGATTTTCACAACATTGATGATGCCAATGGTCAGGCAGAAGGAGCAGTGCCGCCGGCGGTGAGTCCATCTCTGCGAGGCGAGGGCTTTGGAGGCGCTGAGTGCTGATACAAACACGCTTGGTACGAATGATGTGTTTACAGAACAATTAGACGAGATGAGAGACGAAGGGTACGGCATCGCTGCAGCGCCTAGCAGGACATGTAGAGAAGGAGTCAAATCATACACGCGAGCTCCTTCTTCTCAAAGACGCGCTTTCCGCGATGGATGCGTCGTTGCTTGCGCATGCTCCGAGGCGTGACATTCAACATTATACAGGACGAAAGTCGTGACCTCGCTTCCCTTTTTCTGGTTTCAGAAAAGTATTCTCATCTCAATGTAGTACGTGACCAATCGGCAAGCAGAGTAGCAATAAACCAGCATCGCGATTAGGATACTCGACAAAGCTTGGCTTTGGGAGCACTTGAACTGGAATGCACACTCGCGACCTGAGGTGGCATTTCGAGCATGGTTCGGAGGAACGTCGGGCGGTGACCTAGCGCGAGCGGTGCGAGGGTGGCGTTTGATCACGACTTGCAAATTTGTGTGGGTGCAGGATCAAGTGGTATGGAGATGGGTGACAGGCCACACATCAGAACCACGGGTTGGCTGATGATGCCTGCAGGCTGCCCACAGTCACAAATTGTGAGAAGGGCACGCGCACGATCGGCGCGGATCAGCACGCACACGCTCGAACTCAGACTTGGCGCGACTTGAGGCCGATGAATGAAAGCCAAACGGAGGGAGTGAGCAGACGTGAGGATGCTTTCGAAAGCGCTTTTGGGCGAGTGCGAGTGCGAGTGCGAGAAAGTGGAAGGGTGGGAGGGCGAGGAGTAGGTGTGGGCAGAAACTAGGTACGCTTGACTCTTCTCACCATCCCGGTGCCTCATCAAGATGGGGGGCACGAGCCGTGTCTGCG